TCACAGCGTCACACGTTAGGTGCCACGTGTGACCTCTGGTGGATATGTCCAAAAGGAGTCATTTTAACAGGCTTCAGAAGCTGACCTGTCAGCAAATCGCGCCTACGCTGTACTGTATACGTATTGCATATACGTTTGTGTTTGTTTATTTTGATTTGTAATTCCACTCTGCAATTTTGTATGGTGCAAGCGTAAATGTTTTTAACAAAACTAAACCATTTATTAGGGATAGATATACAGGGACAAAAAATTAGTATGCTTAGATTTGCCAATGATATAGCAGTATTAGCATCTAGCAAGCACGACTTAGAGATAGCATTAAATAAAGTGGAAGCGGTACTGACAGATCAGTACTGTATGAAAATAAATAAAAGAATAACTAAAATACTAGTATGCAATGGAAGTAGGGAAATAGCGAATATAAAGATAGAAGACGAAAAATTAGAAGAAGTGGCTGATTTTAGGTATCTAGGAAGTCAGATAAGTCAGGACGAAAGGAGTAGTAGGGATATAAAGCAGAGGATAGCGCAAGGTCGTATCGCCTTTAAGAAAAAGAAGTCACTTCTATACTCGCGAACGGTTAATTTAGAAATTCGAAAAAGATTGTCAAAGGTGTATGTTTGGAGCACGGCGCTGTACGGGTGCAAAGCTTGGACAGTGGATGTGGCGGAAAAGAAAAGGTTAGAAGCTTTCGAAATGTGGTGTTATAGGCGAATGATGAGGATGACGTGGGTAGAAAATGTTAGAAATGAAATAAAAAATAGAAGTGATAGGTTGGTAGGACACCTTCTCAGGCATGAAGGTCTAGTCAGAAACATATTAGAGGCAGAAACAGGAGTTAGGAGGAGTAGAGGTAGACCTAGATTGGATTATTGTTCGCAAATAGTTAAGGATATGGTATGTTCTAGCTTTAGGGAAATGCGAAGATTAGCTCAGGATAAGAAAGAGTTGAGGTACGTATCTAACCAGTCTTAGGACTGACGACCTTATGATGATGAAACCAACATTTCCCATTCGTTTAACAAACTGTATTAAGATTCTGTTTTGCTAGGTACATTTAAAATGAGTATAAAAAATAAGGTCTGAAAATAAATAAGAAGGTGATTTATGATATTTTCAACTGTTTTTTATTATACTGACTACGTTTAAAAAAACCTGTTCACATGTCCAGGTTCTGGGGTTTTTACACGTCTTGTCCTAGTTTTCAAATTTTAGAGATGGCAACCCTACCTGTAAAGAACGTTGCATTGAAGCACGCTCACGGCTCAAGCGATCCCCACTACGAACTCTACTACGTGACCGAGTAGAGGGGGAACATCCGTTGCATGATTTCGTTACATAGCAAATCGCATGAAACGAACTTACCCTAGCGTGCGTAAAGAACTTTCACTTCAATAAATAATTTTTGAAAAACAAAGGATTCGTTTCAGCAAGTAGATATCCATCTATTTAAATAAATCTTGTTAAGCATAATGAATTCCACTAAATGTAGCATTGTACTACAAATGGCGTTTACCGCGCCATTTGTGGTATTTTATAGAACGCGCTGTTAAGAGAGCAGGTAAAAATTGGTGTGTGTTCTGTCGAAACTGTCTGCGACGCGCTGATTAGATACAGACAGATCGAAATCGCGATCCGCGTCTGGCAGTTTCGATAGAATACCTGACCACTTCGAATTTGTTTGTTTTACATTTTTCATTTTGTGATATGGAATAAAAAGCTGTTTTTATCCAATCCACAGAGTTTTTCGAAATGCGTCCTTGTGGGTAAATGCCCTATTGTAACATCCTTGTTCCGAAGAAAATATAACGCTTATACGTGTTGAAGATTTGTAAGTGAATTGGCAAACAAAAGAAAATAATGATTTGCTTTATTGCAGGATACATGCGATCAAATTAAGCAAGCCCTGAACTTACGTTTTTCTTCGATAATCCTGAAAAAGACTTAGTCAATGAAAGTAAACAACAGAGTCACGATCTTTGTTTATTTGGCTTTTATTGTATTTGCCTTTGGATATTATTTTCTTAGAATAAAGTTCAAATAAAAACATAATATCTACCAAATAACCTGCAATTATTTACTCGAAACGTCGAAAACGTATTTAACAAAGCTAAACAATAATAAAGGACATTGGGATAATGGTGGATGAGAAGTTATTATTTGTTGAGCAAGTAATTCGTGTAACTGATAGAGTACACAAAGTTTTGCTTTTTTGCGAGCTTGTTTAAAATTTTTATAATAACACATTTAAAGTTCTTACCACCCCACCATTGGTAGGACAAAACTCGTTATTAACTGGATGATAAAATCAGTACCACAATTTCCTGGGATTTTTGATTAATTATACTGCACCAATTATAACTACCCACTTTCAGATCGACTAACAGAAAAGGAATGCGGAAGTTTTAAAAAAACGTTATATATTTCATTATTTTCATAATTTATCATTTAACTGCACTATTCTGCTTTCGATTTGTATTAAAAAATATTAAAGAAGCTTCTTCTAGTCATCGTGGTTGCTAAAAACTGCCATATAACAAATTATACCTTCTCTTGGAAGGGGTTGATTGGTTAAAAATACAGAAGGAGGAGCTCTTATAGGCTCCTGTTTTGTTTCTGCTAAAATTTTCGTGGCATATTCATATAAAAAGATTATATGTGTGATGAATACAGATAATTTGGAGAGAAGAAGAATTGTTGCCGATTTGTTATGGTGTTTAATTGTAATACAGATAAGAGTCCCATGTTACAGCCTACGCAAACATCAAGTATTTTATGTGCCTTATCACTGTATTCTATACGTCGAAGACGCGATCAACATCATTAAAGATAGCACAACTGTAGGTGTAGATATACAGGGGCAAAATATTAGTATACTTAGATTTACAGATGATATAGCAGTATTAGCATCTAGCAAGGAGGAGTTAGAGATAGTTTTAAATAAAATAGAAGCAGTATTTACAAAACAGTATTGTGTGAAAATAAATGGAAATAAAATTAGAAGAAGTGGCCGATTTTAGTTATCTAGGAAGTCAGATAAATCAGGACGGAAGGAATAGTAGGGATATAAAGCAGAGGATAGCGCAGGGTCGAGTCGTCTTCAATAAAAAGAAGTCACTTTTATGCTCGCGAACGGGTAATTTAGAAATCCGAAAAAGATTGTTAAAGGTGTATATTTGGAGCGCGGCGTTGTACGGTTGCGAAACATGGACGGTGAGCGTTGCGGTGAAGAAAAGGTTAGAACGAAATGTGGTGTTACAGGCAAATGATGAGGATACCGTTGATAGAGAAGGTTAGAAATGAAAAGATATTAGAAAGTGTAAGAGAACAGAGGATTCTATGGAAGTCAATAAGAAATAGGTGAGATAGGTTAGTAGGACATCTTCTTAGGCATGAAGGTCCAGTCAGAGACATAATAGTGACAGGAACGGGAGTTAGGAGGGGTAGAGGTAGATCTAGATTAGATTACTGTTCGCTAATAGTTAAGAACAACCCACGTTCTAGTTTTACGGAAATGCGAAGATTAGCTCAGGATAGGAAGGAGTGGAGGTGCGTGTCCAATCAGTCTTAGGGCTGAAGATGATGATCACTGTTTCAATTTTAATCGCAATAGCCCACTATCTCGTATTTTAAGGCACTTAAACAAGTTTAGTGATCTTGATGTTTTTAGGGTTATTATTAAAATCATTAAGAAGCAGGCTAGATAAAGAATTAGGATCAGATATGAGCACAAAATATAGCTGCAGAATTATACGAATTAAATGAATTATACGATGTACACTGTTTTTTAATGGGCTTGTCCTTTAAATAGAAATAATAATAAAAAAAACAGGTGCAACTTAGTACACGTGAAAGAAGTGAAACTTCTTGTGGCGATCCGTATACCTTTCTAACGAATAAATAATGATTGGTAAAATAGAGAGTACGAGAATTTCCAGGATGTATGTTTTCCAACATATTTTATCTTCAGGCCACCACTTAAGGAGTATTACTTTAATATTTATTTAATTCAATAACAAAAAAGTGGTCAAATTTATTTTTCCAAGTGCTTAAGAAACCTTAAACTATCAGTAACTACAAGGATTTAGATTTAATACATAATAAATACTCTCTCTTAAATAAATGTTTATTGTTGTTTGGTATTTTCGAAAACGCGCTGTTAAGACAGCAGGTAAAGGTTGGTCTGTGTTCTGTCGGAGCTGCCTGCGATGCACTGATGAGATCCAAACAGATCGAAATCGCGATCCGCGTCTGGTAGTTTCGACAGAATACAGACCACTTCGAATTATTTTGTTTGTATTTGTGTGTTTGGAATTTGTGTATTGTTGTATTATTATTGTGTAAATATTCTTTTCTTATAATTCTACGACTATTTAATTGCCTACGTACTTTCCTATCATCCCTTTTAACAATTCAACTCTGTATACTAACTGCATGACGTCTATAATCCTTACTTTTCCTAATTGCAGTTTTATGGTCAGTTTCTTCGGTGATTTGGGGTCAAACTTAACTTCTAGGTATTTCTTCTAAACTAAATTTCCAGGTTTTACTACCATCTTATTGGTTCCCTACTTTAATTAACTTATTTCTAACTCCTCCTTATCACCCTTCTTACGATCTCTTTTTCAAAAACTAAAATCAGTTCTGACTTATCCTTCCTAATTTCAACTTCACCATTCTACATTCTTAATTCTAGTCTTCATTTTTTTGTTCTTGTTTATTAAAGTTGTTATCGTATTCTGCGTTCTATTATTTAACCACCTCAACATCAGGACACACAACGAGACTAAAGTGGTGACCCCGTAGTTTTTTTTGTGCGTCAGTGTTGTGTTAAGTCCTAACTGTTAATAATAGTGAGAGGTGACAGACAATTGTAAGTACTTTTTTGAGTAACATTTTAGTGTAACATCTTGTGCGGTAGATTTAAGTGTAAATAGACTAGATTTTAGTGACCGTAATATAAGCGAAATGGCTAATTCAGAAGAACAATTNCATTTAACTGCACTATTCTGCTCTCGATTTGTATTAAAAAATATTAAAGAATAAATTAAATGTAATGTCTGCTTCTTCTAGTCATCGTGGTCGCTAAAAACTGCCATATAACAAATTATACCTTCTCTTGGAAGGGGTTGATTGGTTAAAAATACAGAAGGAGGAGCTCTTATAGGTTCCTGTTTTGTTTCTGAAAAAATTTTATCTTGATCTTCAGGACACTCACCCCCTTCTGTAACCGAACAACACATTGTTTCATCTGTAGTCAATAATATTTCTTCGTAGACATCTTCCGGCTAAAAAACAATGAAGTTAGTATACAGGGTGTAACAAAAATAAGTGTCGAGCTTGCAGGAGATAATAGAGCACTATCAAAGATAAGTAAATGTTTGTATGTCCAAAAGTTTCAATTCAATTCCGGTCCTGATAAAGCAATACGACAACGCAACGTCGCATTCAATCAGCTGAAAATTAGCAGCATCGGTGTTGTATTTCTTTTGTATTTTTCTTTTTCACATGTATTGTTTGTCATTTGTCAGATGAGATTAAGTGTGATTCACGACGTTTATGTTACGGCCCGCCTGTAAAAGTTATTTGTCCATTTAACATTATCAATCGCTCATCCCAACCATTTGCAGCGATTGTAAACCTTACTTGAAACTGCCACTTCAGCTACAAGTTAACTTTATGGTGTTGTTCACAGACAAATTTGCCTCACGAAGGACAGAATTTTGAATTTTCATAATAATCACTATCGGTACAACGTAAATTTGCATATCGTACATCCTTGGCGATTTCAAGAACAGTTTCCGGTAAATGTCTGGTGCGAAATTTTTGGAGACTTATTTGAACTTTTTGGTAAGTTTACTTAAAACCACCTGTAAAAAGGTAACGCGCCTTGGCAATACTTCAATGGTGGAAATTTGCCTTAATAGAATTACAATTATCTAGATGATACTCATTTACCGACTATTTTACGTAACTTACATATTTAATTTATTTAGTTGCAGTAAAAACTGATTTACTACCCAAAGAAACATATTGTGCTTAATTATGATTATGATAGTGAACAATCGTTTATAAAAGTATTTATTGGTTTAAGGGAAATTACAACTGGTAATCATCTAGTGAAACTTATTCCTACCATGTTAATAGGGCTGAAAATATTTGTTCTTTAAACAAGGACAAAGACTGATCAACAACTATTAAAATAATGATTTTTTGTTATTTCTCTCAGTTAGTGACACTTTACATTTCATGCATCTGTTTTAATGTTAATTTAATATACGTTTAAAAGAACACTTGTATGATCTTCCTCCCCTTGTGAGAAGACGGAAGGGAATGAGAGATGAGTGCTTTTAGATGGCGTCTGAGGGGTAGAGGTGAACAACACAATATTAACATAAACCGAACCTTACGTTAAACGTAATAAAAACATCTTTTGGAGTGATGTTTGTGTTTAAAATCCTCATTCAGTCTTACCAAAATGTGATTTTTAGTAGAAATTGAAAAAAATCATTGCAAAAAGTTTTTTGAAGTGAAACTAATTTATGGACAGTAGGAAGAAAATTTACTAGGGTATAAAGTCGAAAAGTGTAACGCCACGCGTCACAGCGTCACACGTTAGGTGCCACGTGTGACCTCTGGTGGATATGTCCAAAAGGAGTCATTTTAACAGGCTTCAGAAGCTGACCTGTCAGCAAATCGCGCCTACGCTGTACTGTATACGTATTGCATATACGTTTGTGTTTGTTTATTTTGATTTGTAATTCCACTCTGCAATTTTGTATGGTGCAAGCGTAAATGTTTTTAACAAAACTAAACCATTTATTAGGGATAGATATACAGGGACAAAAAATTAGTATGCTTAGATTTGCCAATGATATAGCAGTATTAGCATCTAGCAAGCACGACTTAGAGATAGCATTAAATAAAGTGGAAGCGGTACTGACAGATCAGTACTGTATGAAAATAAATAAAAGAATAACTAAAATACTAGTATGCAATGGAAGTAGGGAAATAGCGAATATAAAGATAGAAGACGAAAAATTAGAAGAAGTGGCTGATTTAAGATATCTAGGAAGTCAGATAAGTCAGGACGAAAGGAGTAGTAGGGATATAAAGCAGAGGATAGCGCAAGGTCGTATCGCCTTTAAGAAAAAGAAGTCACTTCTATACTCGCGAACGGTTAATTTAGAAATTCGAAAAAGATTGTCAAAGGTGTATGTTTGGAGCACGGCGCTGTACGGGTGCAAAGCTTGGACAGTGGATGTGGCGGAAAAGAAAAGGTTAGAAGCTTTCGAAATGTGGTGTTATAGGCGAATGATGAGGATGACGTGGGTAGAAAATGTTAGAAATGAAATAAAAAATAGAAGTGATAGGTTGGTAGGACACCTTCTCAGGCATGAAGGTCTAGTCAGAAACATATTAGAGGCAGAAACAGGAGTTAGGAGGAGTAGAGGTAGACCTAGATTGGATTATTGTTCGCAAATAGTTAAGGATATGGTATGTTCTAGCTTTAGGGAAATGCGAAGATTAGCTCAGGATAAGAAAGAGTTGAGGTACGTATCTAACCAGTCTTAGGACTGACGACCTTATGATGATGAAACCAACATTTCCCATTCGTTTTTTCGAAAAAAAGTTGTATTTTTCTGTTAATGCAATAGTTTCATTAAAAAATGTTAATATAATAAATATTCTAAAGGAGTTTCATTTGTTGTGAGAGTACACTAATACACGTTCGCTTTTTTTTTACAATGTTGGAATAGGTTAGATTAGAATAAGAGTAGGTTACGTTGGTTTGTTTTTCAATATTTGATATTTCGTCTCCACCTCCTGCGTCTCGAACCTTCCGCCTTCTCATTAAAACTACTCTTTTATTGGTGGTATATAAGATCAAGATAATTAATTTGCATATAAACTGTTTTTTTTTAAACTTAATACAGTATTTGATGAGACGTATAGGACACTAGGCGCATGAACAAAATTCGTACTTAACTGAAGGTTAACTAATTATTCAAACTGACAAATAAAAAAAATTGTTGGCGGAGACCTACCAGAATTTCCTTTAAAGGTACTAGTTGTGAAGGAGGAGGCTTGTTAAAAGGTACAGTAACTCTCTTGCTTTGGATCATCAGCAACAGAAACCACATGTAATCATTTCTTATGGTTAATTGTTCTGGATCTTCCTCAGTGTCGAGTAGTTTATCCAACCAAGCCCTCATTTTAGATCTATCTGAAAGATGGTCAAATTTTGCAGTTTGCGAAGTTAAAGTCAATAATGAGTCAACTCTGGTTGTATTTCTAAGAAGCTAGTTTTTTGTAATACACAATATGATTGTAATATCGTCCGCCCCCACATTAGACTGAACGGACTTTACTTATAAAAAAGTTAATCAATGGAGAAATATTCGAAAAATTCTTAAAAGTCCATTTCTCTGCTAATTCAAGCAGTTGTTCTCTTTGCATCTTGTTTTTAGTCTTCTATTTTGTCTTTAATGTTTCTATTGGATTCTAACTTTTTGTCACTATATCTACATTACTTACATCTACATTAAGGATTAATGTCATTTCAAAGTCAACTTTTGTGGGGTAAACAAATTTTACATTCAAATTTGCTATAGTTGAGACGTTCAAAATTGGCATATTCAGTAATAAAACTATCGCATTTACTTTCTTCTTTTAATTTACCACCTAGACTAGACCACAATCGTAAACAGATGTCAGATAGGAATTGCAGTGGACAGTGGTAAAGAAAATGAAATAGCATTACACACATAGATGATGTGTAACAGAAAGAGATGCAGACAAGCAAAATTTGAGAATGTTGCCAGCATCGGACTTTAAAGAAAGTTTAGAATTCTCAGGAATTTAGGAAAGGAGAGACGCTTGTTTAAAGATATAATTACCATCGCATTATGATATTCCAAGACAAACACGCCAAACTCGAATGGTGGCTTCCTCTGAGGTAAAGCACTCCGGACGTAAACTAGTCCCCCATTCGGATGTCTGGGCGGGGACTACTTCGAGGGATGTCATCAATAAGTTCAATAGGGGAAGGTGCAAAATTTCATGAGTCGGAGGGTGGAATGTTAAAACCACGAGGCAGGTGGGGAAATTAGAGAATTCGAAAGTTGAAATGAATAGGCTAGAATTAGAAATAGTAGGTATTAGTGAAGTCCTTTGGCCAGAAGCTGGAAACATCTAAAGAGGAGACTTTATTCAACCATCACGTTAGGAGGCACTATTCGTGGAAGATACCAGGTGATTCAGGGTGATATCAGTTAGATTACATGTTAGGCAAAGTTTTAAAAATCAAGTGAAGGATTGTAGGAGTTATCCAGGAGCAGATAGAGATAGCGATCATAACTTAGTAGTTATGAAGACCAATCTTAAATTAAAAATTCTGAAAAAGAAGGAAGGTATTGTCTATTTCAATTTGTTAGAATTGTGACCTTGAAGAAATCTGCGCGAAGATAGAAAGAATACACACTAGGCGTGAGCAAAACAGAAATAGTTGGAACAAACTTGAACGAGCAGAGCTCTCGATGGGCGGTCTTAGGAGATCGGCTACAATTGTACAGTACTAGACGAAAATGTTTAGCAATTTCTTAAAACAAAAATGTATATAAATTAACAATAGAAAACAAAGCAAAAGTTTTACAGGTGTGTAGAACGTTAAGTTTATTCACTTGTTATTATTTTTGACTAAATATGGTTTTAAATAAAGCATATTCTTAAATTTTAACGAGGCAGTTTAAATAATTTTGTACACTATTGTCTAGTTCTCGCTCGATGATCGGTGGAGATATGAGCTTCGCAGACAAAAATGATTGAATTTGGAATTATGCTACGGCGCATCCTAATAAAGGGAAGGGGCATATTTCTAACTTCTTGAAACGAACAGTAGGAGACATCTTGGCTAAAATGTAACGAAACGCGGGGTAGGCTAAGTACAAGGACAAACGAAATACTAAAGGAGGCAGGAGAAACGAATGACAGGGACATAGAGACAGAATGGAACTGCATTAAAATGTGCTTAAAGTCAGCGTCAGCAGCTACAGATGTATTAGGTCTTAAATAAAACGAAAGTAAGAAGAGTTACATCCAGCGACCTTTGCCCCTACCTATGAATTATACCACCGGCCATGACACATCTAATTAGTATATAAGCTTACAATTTTCTCATTCATTCAACAGTCTACTTTATAGGTCAAACCTATGCTAGTTGTTCATTTGCCATCATTTTTGTGTAATAGTTAAGATAAAATAAAGTGTAATCCAGGTTCCTGAAAACCGAACCAAATAAATGTGTTAAAACAAAGTTTTTTAAAAACTCCATTCGAACATCGTACGTTTTAACTGAAGCCCTGGATAACAAACGAGTAAGCAATAATAAAAAATTAATAAACGTAAATAGTTCATATGCTTAACCGGCTAGAGCCTTTTGCTTATTTATATCTACCGTTTCTTTGTATAATAAATCTGTATTTCCAGCTTTTTAGAGAGCTTTAATAAAAAGCATCAACTAACAGTTTTTTGTATAGTTTGGTTTTATTTACAATGTTGATCCGTTATAAAAACATCCATTTAGAATTTGCATTTGACAAGTAAAGCAAGATTATAGACATTTTTACGTTAAAAAATAGTTTCCGTTTTCAATGGAAAGTAAACATGGACGTGAAAAAATTGTACTAACCTTTCTCAGGCATTAGTTGTATGAGCGATCGAGCTATCATACTGTTATAAAAGAAATTTTCGTTGAGAGCTTGGATCGGATTTGCCATCTTTCCAAATTATAACTAAATTTATAATTTTAACCAGATTTGTGGAGCAATTTTAATAAAACTAAATCTGACACGAAAATTTTTGAATCTTGTTTACGTATTACATATTTAATACACTTTGACAAGGAAAATGACATTTAATTATGACAGTTATTGACGAACAGCTTGTCATATTTCGAGGAAAATGCCGACTTCACAATATTTAGTTTTAAATACCTGAAAATGACGACGATTTGAATTTTTAAGCAGCCTTTAAATATTCTGTTAATTAATGAATTCTTTAAACAGGTTTCACATTTCACATTTTTTAATTGTACTAAATACAAATAATGGGATAATACTTAAATGTACGTGTTTTCTTTTTTTCTATAGAAGATTTTCACGAAGGAAAAAGACAATTGAAAAGGTCGTATAAGAAGAAGTGTGTAATAACAATAAAAAAATTGAATTGGTTGAAAAACATTAATTAGTATCTGTACCTGCGGAGAATACTTCAGTTATCGATAATTATGCAAAATTGCTAATAAATATTTTTTTGTGACGTTGGAAAATTTCTTGATAAATATGTACATATGCTCATACATATTTATCATTTCGCCTTTCCTCTGTTAGGCTTTTATTTGATTTTATCATTGACTTTTTCAATTTTGTGCATACTTATTTATTGTTTTTTTATGATTGCAAGATCGGATTTGCCAACAGTTTTTGACTATTATTTAAAATTGTACCTACATAAAAAGTGTAATTAATAATGTAAAAAGAAGCATTCTTTACGATATTGAGAAAATGATGAATTTTCTGCTTTTAAAGCATTCTGAGCTAACCGTGTAGCATTTACTTATATTCTCACTCATTCGTGCAAGTGCATGATAATTACATTTATAGACTATGAAACTCAAAGCGAAGATGATGAAATTATTGATAGAATAACTCAAGTTTAAAATGACTCAATGATTTAAATAAATATTATTCTCAGTTTTTAACATGCGTCCATCATCTGAATGATTATATTTATTATGTATTCCATACTTTCATACGCAGATTGAAATTAAAATTTATAGTTGGATATCTTGTCTACTATTGATTCCCCTTTAACATTCCCATTTTCCAATTATTAAGATAAAATTAAGAGCGCGATTTTAATTTTAATACCTTAAATCGAATAATTTTCCGAAAATTTACAGTTATGCCTACAATTCACTTGCATCGTGGTTTCATAAAACCATATAATTGTTTTTTT